CCTTTTCTTTGACCCCTGCCGGGGGGGGGCCAGCCACAGCTTCCCTGGGCAACCTATGCCAGTGCCTCACCACCCTCACAGTAATGAATTTCTTCCTTGTATCTAATCTAATTTGACGATATCACTTGTCAGGATATCCTTGATTTAAGAGACATGGCACCTCCCCCAGGGATTCTGCTTTGCCTTTTGGCAGCTGAAGAGAGATGTTTTTTGTGGACTCTGCTCTGGCGAGGACAACTTTGGAGAACCTGAAACACCTGGCTCAGAAAGAATGACTGTTTCTGCTGTATCTGCATCCCCAACGTTGTTACTGGGGAACTGCCTTGCCTAAGGCCATCAAAGAAAATCCTGGAAGTGAAATTCTGCTAAAAACCCTGCTGTCTCTAAAACCTGACTGAAGCACACATCTTGCTCATACTCCTGCCCGGTAAAGCCTGTTGAAGCCAGCCACTTGCTTCAGAAAAAACTCAGCTATATTTATCCTAAATTTGGTTCACTTGCTGAACTGTGGAATTTGTTAGGTTTGATAGCCAACATTTCATACCGGATGGTAACTGCATGTGCAATAGGGGACAACCTGCTTGTAGCAGGCTGTGCATGAGGGAGCTCACCTGTGCATGTGATCCCATCCCCGTTGTAAAATGGCTTGCACTGACATGTGTTGTTCTCCATGCAGATGGCGTTGGCAGAGCAGCTCGGGGAACACACTGGCTGCAGAGCTGTGGGGAAGGTAGAACAGCTGGGATGAAGATGCTCTTTATGTTGCAAGGCCCTTGTTTCATGCAGAAAGAAAAGCCCTCCAGTATCGCTAACTGGAAAACCTCTAAGAACTTTTTTTTTTGACTGCTTAGCTCTCGGGTGGTATCTTCCTTCACATAGCCCAAAGCCTCTCCGCAGGGGAGATGAATGCTTCTATTCCCATTTCACAAAGGACAAGACAGGGAGGTGAAGGGACATGTTCAGCATCCAGAGCAGAGTCCCTTAGCCTCCAGTGAGGCCTTCTGACCTTATTAACTATCTCTCTCCTTCACACAAACCCTCTGTTGAATTGCAAGTACTATCAATCTGTGGCTCTATGTGATGGAGCCTGGTGAGAGGAGGCAGAGACCTAGCTTGGTTTCACACAGCCGGCCAGTCCATCCTGTTTCACAGAAACATCGTCCCGTTCCTGAATATCCTTCATCGCACTGTCCGTTGGTCTTGCATTCACAGGCTGCGAAAGAGATGCAGAGAGATCACTT